GGTTAGGAAAATTGCAAAGGCGTAGGATCCAAATATCAATCCAACATAAATTTTGGTTATGCCTCTATCTTCTGCCTAAAAATTAACAAGTTAAGATGAGATGTAAGTAATGAATACATCAGATTCAGTCGCAAAATGAACTGAAGGTGCGGGGATTATACATGTGGCGCGGCATGATTTCGATTTCAACCAATGAAAATTCACTCTTTAAGGAAGGCTTTTAAGGGGAAGGTTCTGTTGCAATTACCATAAAAATTCCGTTAAATATAGGACGACATGATTGTATTTACCTCACTTGGTAAGAATGGCGCGTAAACTGAGTATGCTGCGTATAGGACGAAGTAAACCAAGCACATTGAAAGAAGGAGGACTATGTTACGCGCATTCCATGTTTCTTCTATCGTCTCCGGACGGGTTTCGCCAGTACTCTTAGGTAGCAGAATCTCTGAACTGCTTTCTCTCATGGTCGTTTACTTGCAAGTGGAGCGTGTAATCATTACGTGTTGGAGTGGCAAGGTTTGGTGGGCGAGTCTCAGTTTGAGAATGTTTGAATTACTACGTTGCCGTATTTGCTGTATTTCGGCCGATATTTTTCGAAAAGTTATTTTACATCTGCTTGCATAAAACTTACGCAGTCGCGAAAAACATGTTAAGATCAAGTCAGAGGGCTTTCTCACCTTTGTGTGTTTAAATATGGAGAGCAAAACTTCCTGCGCATAATTTATGCTAAATTATGTCTCTGCTGTCATCTGCAATCAGTTACCAACGGCTAACGGGTAAAAAAAGATCGTCAGATATTTTGAATGAAAGAAGAGTGGTGTAATGGTGATAAACAAAGAGCTCTTATGTGTCACAAATTTTTAAAAGCCTCCTTAGGGCTGTATTTTAACTGCTGCGTTCTTATGTAAAGATTGAATACTGATAAGAAGAAATTAGAGACACGATTGTTTTCTGTGAAAATCAGTTCAAGAAAGCGAAGAATAAGGGTTGAGTTTAGTAGATTCCGACCCTTACTCTTTCGTGAGCCATAAAAACAAATATATATATATATATAACTAAAAATAGACAGAAATGAAAGAAACTAGAATTTAAGTGACTCCTGGCGATATAGATTACAAGCAGCCCCGGTCTTTGGCTTTGCCCGTCGCGCAATTTGAAAGAAACCCTGTATAAAGGCCGAGGGCTGCTTTTGATACAAGATAATATGGTTTTATTACATGAGTTGATAATGTATTTTGGCCAACGTAAAAAGTTCCTAATGCTGACATTTCGTGCGTTTTCCTTCCGTCAGAGGAATTTTTGAGTTGTGTGTGGTTCATCTACAGAAGAAAAGAGCTACGCTATTGTTGGTATCATGGTAACGTGAAAAACGGCTCTCCAGACCGGTTGCCTAGATGTAGGGAAACGTCGTAAACTGCCGTATTGTGCTGAAAATGATCTGGGAGATTAAAGTGTTTAGCAACTGGTTTGGATGACTGCGTCTTTTCAAATCCTTTCTTTGTCACGAAGTTGTTCCTGGAATCACTCGCCAGGTCGTCTTCTTTTTTCGCTGATGTCTTAGATTTCAATCAGTGCCAGTTAAGTAACGGATGACCTTGGCTTGGATACAGGAGAAGTGATCAGTGATTACTGCACTTTTACAAAGCTAAGTATTACTTACTGTTTTATCTGTTATAAAACCTATTAATAGAGCTTAGGAGGCGTTAATAGTGGCAAATAAGAAGAACATAAGACCAGTCTGTGTGAGATTTTCACCCAACTACAAGGAAAACGGATGAAAATTTAGATAAAGTTATGCACGTAGTTTATCGGTGTCAAAATAAATTTAAGACATTCCTTTTTGAATAAAGACAATGACATGTCTGTTTGTACTGATTAAAAACCCTGTACTTGTTTTTTGGAAATATAATTTATGTAACTTCAAAATGGATGTTGTGAAGTGGTAATTTCGCGTCGTGCCGCGAAAAAATGACAGTTTTCGTCTGAAACTATATTTTTAATTTAAAAGTCAAACTTACACTTCGCTACCTACCCCCCTCTAGGAGACTGCGCAAAAGCGCGGCCTTTGATGGTTTGAATTTATAGGAAATAATGAAAATATTCGTATCATTGTAACCGGGTGCGACGGATACTTATCAACTGATTCATACGTCAGCGAGCTTCACTGATATATGGTAGCACAATGGCAGCTTCGTTCCCGCTTTCCCGCTATTTTTGTTAACGTTTTCCATAATACCTTTTCCTTGCCATTATCATCCACAATTGCATTCCACTTATCTCCACCAACTGAGAAGAATACGAAGAAATCGTTGACACATACATTAAAATGCTCAAAACCTTAAACTGCAGTGGGTGTCCTGGGTGCTGTAAAGCGTCTGTCCATGGAGCCTTTTAGTCAGACTACTGAAACTAAGCGAGTTGTGCTGCTCCAAAACAGCAAGTCGAACGCCACGGGCACCACAACTAAGCCAGTAAGACCAAAACCATAGGGAAACCATGCAGCCCTAGACAACGCTGATGGTCAGCTCAAATAAAAGGAGCTTTTGACTTAAATGAAAATCAAGAGTCACGAAGCAAGTCACCATCACACTCTGTTGAGCCAGCAGTAATTGCTGCAGGGTAATTTAGTATTATCAACTGAATTGATAACGTAAATCGGCCACCATAAAGAGTTTCGAAGCTGATGTCTCGAGCCTTAGCCCTTCGCCATTCGCTCTGACTTACCCCCGTTATTTAGTAATTGCTGCAGTTTAATTAAACAAATTGAACACAATTTCCATCATCTACAACGTAGTGAATCATAGACGTGTGGTCAACAGTGTTCACTGCAAAGTTTTCAACATTGTTGACGTCATTTCTATCATTAATGTACTAGTAATTAATGGATGGCAATTGACTCTATTACCCTTACTTGTTTTATTGTTCACTTATTTTTGATTTTTGTGCCCTTTGCTTCGGCATCGGCAAGTAATTCTACGAGGTGGTCTTCTTCGTAATTCAAACGTTACCGTCCGAGAAATGGCTTTCTCTTCCCTCCGCTTTTTCTTCCACCTCGACAAGTTCGACTTGAAAAATTTCTCACAGTATACAGATCTTAAAATTTTGAAACTCGTCACCGTCCATTTTTTTTCGTAAATTTTGCAATTGAGTTTTCCGAGAGTGGTTTTCTCTAAGATGGCGTGGACTGCTGAGCGTTGGGTTACATATTGTGTTATTTTTATGATCAATAATATTTTTGACAATGGCTATCTCCACCAATGAGCGCACATCAATCCCTACAGAAATTGAAAAAGTATTCTTGAACATTAATACTGGATTAAGATGTTATAATGTTATTCTCTGTCAAGTTAAGAGACTGACGTTCTCATTCCTGGTAACTTTTATTTCAAATTATTCTTGCTTATTTTGGTTTTACGCAACACCGTTGCTAGCTTATTTCTTTGGAGTAGGGTTGACGTCATGTAAGACACGAGACTCTTACCAAGTGCTTTCGAAGTTTGTCGGTTAAATTATGGAGTTGCTGTTGTAGTTGTTGTTGTTGTTGTTATTGTTGTTGTTCTATTACAGACTGTTTAACGTCTCCATTCACCCTTCCTCCAGTCGCCTTACCTTGCCGATTGCACAACCATACAAATAGTCTATCCATCAATCAAACTCATATCGTCATTACTTTTTTTCTTTTCGGCCCACAATTTAAACTGCTTTGTCTCCCAATGATTATGCCAGACAATAAAATTCATTCAATATTCATTTCATTTATTTATCGCAGAATTTTTACAAAATCATATAAATGATGGTCGTCCAGGAATAAAAATGTTTTCCAAACTGCTCAGACTTCCTTCTTTAGTTTCATTCAGGTTCTTTTAACTTTGCCATTTCATATCGCCATAAGTAGCGTCTTAATTTAACAAAGAGAGCTTCTCTTCCTTCCGATTGGAATTTTTTCTAAAGAAAAGAATCGTAAAATTAATTCAAGACAAACAAAGATGATCAAATGGACCACAATGATCTTTAGTAAGAATTTGAAAAAACTCAAACTATTTAATTCGCTTGCGCCTCGTGCTCGCTATCTTTTTTATTTGTGTGCAACTGCATATTCTGATGACAGTTCAAGAAGGAGTAATAATCTATGGTTAGCTCTTTGACTCCTAAAAGGGACTCGCATCCAATTTCTCCAGACAATATCACCCTGAATTCACACATTACGGTCACAAGAACAAAGGAAATGATCAGCGACTAAAGAACCTCTTAATCGTTACGCAAATTCTCCTCAGTTGTCAACACCTGAGAAATATGTACAGGGCAGTATGGAGAAAATGCATATTGATGTCACGGTGTAAAGGGTTAAGAAGATATCGTGATATGACAATCATTGATGCGCAAGTCGTAATACTCTAAGGCTGAAGCATTTTTTGTGCAAACTGTAAATACTAAAAGAAATGGCTTGACACGTCAATCTCGTTAATAAAGTCTCTCCTGTTCCCGCTGTTCTTTGGTGCGAACTAGAATATAGGAGCCCTTGGGGTAGGAATAAAGAGAGAACCTAGAAACGTGGTAGACGGATAACAGCAAAATTTCCTGGTGTAAAACGGTACATAAGATTCCTTGCATTAGTGGTTGGGGCACTTTAATATGATATGAACTATATGCTTATTAGATCCGCTATTGATTAACTTTCAGTAAAGAGTTATATGTAAACCCCGTGAAGTTATTTTTCTGCATATTAACGATAACTGTTTAAAAATATAATTCAGGACTTCAAGAACACACTCCAAACATTTATTAACCTTTGAGACGCATTTTCCACTAGTGTGAAGATAAGCAAAGTCAATGCCTAAAAACATCAAAGCAATAATGTTACCTAACATTTGTCCTTGTTCGACCCAGTGGTGCATAAACATATATATTTTTTTCTTAAACTCCTCAGCAGGCCTAACTCTCAAACCCTCCAATTTGATTGGCCACGGGTTCTTACAAAATAAGGACCACAATTCGGAATCTCTTCCGCGCCAATCGCGAAAAAAGCGGAAAAAGCAAAGCGGTCGGTCTCTATGAGATTGAACTGTACCTTTGGTCTTAAGTGCAGCCTTCGACCTTCGGCCTCTGGCCGTATTGAAGACCTCGAGCACAGCTTTTCTCTCATGGGGACCTTCCGTCGGGTAAATTACAAATAATAACATATATTTCTACAAGGAAATATTATTTTTCTCTTGTGCAATCAGTGTGAATAACGCGCTGGCTTAATTGTGAGCGCGCTGAACTCTAACCAGTGGCTCTGACGCAACTAAGCAAAAGAAATGTAATTGAGGATTACTTTTACACTCAATTGACATGCGGTCTTTCAGGCACAATTTATAATTTCCTTCAGTTAATGGACAGCTGTTTAAAAATTTTGACCCATTCTTAAGTAAGAACACTTATATCCCACCAAATTTACTGACGTGTCTCATGTTGGAGAGTCTTTGCCTATTTCTTTACTGAATTCTTACCGGGTCATCTTTCATTAATTTTTATCTCTCGTAACCGATCAATATTCCCTTCTTTTCCTTTTCTGTTTAAGCTAAACTCTCGTAACCTGCGCTTCAAAGTGCTAAACTGATTTTGATATCATGAATGTCAGCCAAGAATTGCCGCACAATTCCATTTTCATTCTCAAAGGGAAAGCAAGTGTTATATTATCGTCCGATCTTCCTCTATATTTTGTCGGTTATGACAGGCGAGGCTTCCCATCCCACCCCACTTACCAGTAGTCATAGTACCTGCATACCACTCCATGCATAAAATCTGCGGCAACTGGTTTACTTTTCATCTGCAGTAACTATTTTGCACTTGCAGAATATATGTATTTATATTTTTTGCAGTAGTAGCAGCAACTGCAGATATTCGGTAGTTGCAACAACTACTTTAAATCTTCAGCAACTGTTACATATCTGCTGCAACTATTTTATTTTTGTTGCAACTGTTTGCTTTGCAGTTGTGGATCACTCACTGTACAAATCCATTTTGAAAAGGTGTACTTACAAGAGCAAGGCCTATTAGAGCTGCAACCTGGAGAAAAAAAAAGAGGAAGCTTACAAAACTACTTGAATCTTTTGGCACAAAAGCCAGCCTGTGAACAGAGTCTTTCTGCAATAAAAAATAGGGTCACGTCACGTCCAGTCACGTCATTTGTACGCACTATGAGTATATTTGTTTAGAGTCAGTATGTAGTGCTCTTCCTTCCAGGTTAGTAAAGCTTAGGTGCGTCAACTTCACAAACGAAATATTAACTAACTAAGGCTTAGTAATTTGGTAGGTCACATTTACATACCGTCACTGCCCACGCAAAACCAAAATGTTCGGCAAGAGCACCTCCGAGGCTTGGACCGATAAAAAGTCTGTTAAAATAATTATTCAAGAGACTCAAAGCACAGAAAAAAAGAAAACTGAGAAGCAAAAAGGAAATTAATAATACTAGGACCATCTTGCCCAATCAGATAGCCAATCAGAACATAGAATTCACTTAAGCGGAAACAGTAGCATCAGGAACAGCAGGAATAACAGCAGCAGTAGTGGCGGCAGTAGTAGTACTAATAGTAGCAGTAGCAGGAGCAGTAATAGCGGCAGTAAGAGCAACAGCAGCAGAAGAAATATTACTATCAGTAGTAACAGAAGCAGTAAAAGTAGCAGCAGTAGTAGCAATAGAGGTAGCAGTAGAAATATAGCAGTAGCATTAACAACAACAGTCTGAACAGTAGTATCAGTAGAAGCGGTAACAGTAGCAGTACCAGAAGCAGAGGCAGAAGCAGAAGCAGTAGCAGTAACAGTAGCAGTACTATGAACCGTAGCAGTAGCAGTAGCAGTAGCAGTAGCAGTAGCAGTAGCAGTAGCTGTAGCAGTGGCAGAAGCAGTAGCAGTAGCAGTAGCAGTAGCAGTAGCAGTAGCAGTAACAGTAGCAGTAGCAGTAGCAGTAACAGAAGCAGTAGCAGTAGCAGTAGCAGTAGCAGTAGCAGTAGCAGAAGCAGTAGCAGTCGTAATAGCAGAAGCAATAGTAGTAGTAGTAACAGTAGCAGTAGCAGTAGTAGTAGCAGAAGCAGAAGCAGAAGCAGAAGCAGAAGCAGAAGCAGTAACAGTAACAGCGGCAGTAGCAGAGCAAAAGCAGTAGCGGTATAACAGTAGTAATATTAGTAGAACTAGCAGTGGCAGAAGTATGACTAAGAATAATAGTAGCAGCAGCGGTAGCAATAACAGCAGCAGTGACGGGAACAGGAGTTCCTTACCGGCAGATAGCTCGTAGTTTGTTCGGAATAAAGCTTGATATGTTTCTGTGCCATACCTTAACAAAGATATTGATTTAATACATCAAAGATAAGAAGACAGAATATTTACCCCAAATAAGCCATGGTGTTGTAAAGGCTGGAAAGCACTGCCTTTGTTTCCTCATTTTCGGGCATTCCATTTTCACTGTAAAATAACAAATAAATATATCACAGAATATCTGAGAAAATTTCGCATGTGTATGCTTAGTGCAACTCTATGTTGGATACTGTCACAAAATGGCAATTTGATTTCATTCGGTGGGGGGGGGGGGGGGGGGGGGGAGATTTTCAATATCTTACTCTCAGTATATCTTGAAATGCAAAAATGAAGAGCTTTGTACTCAGATTACAAGAGATATCGACCGCCAATAAAGACACAGGGGCGTCCTGCGGAGGCTGAGGAGACCCTCAGAAAAAACATGTCGCAGGAAGAGAAGAAGGGGGGTATTTGCAGTCAGCAGCTATGGCACAAAGAGTGCCTAAAAATTCCCAGGTGCCTCATAGCTTTGTGTTTAAATTGCTCACAATGTGATCAAATACATTTATCAAGTTTGTTTAGATTACACACTTAGCTTAAATCCAGGCAAAATCTGCACACTTACAGAAGCGAGGCGCCTCGGTTCTCTCTCGGCTTTTAGGTGGCATGTCCATGTGCTGTATTTTTCCCTTACCCAGCAGAAACATTAGGCCATTTTTAAGTCTTTATTTAAAATCATGAGCGTTTTGCATCGTTTGCAACTAGAAAAATTGCCACTAAACTTAATCTATTAAGTATTAGTGGCGCGACTAAGAGTATTGGCGGGCTGCTGGATTACGTGTTCTCAGGTTGCGCATGACAAATATTTTGCTGAGTCCTTGTGCTAATGATCCTGCCTCATGGGAATATCAAGCTCCCTTGCTTCCACTATGTTTGTGGTGCTCAGTATGTTGCAACAAACATGGCAGTTAGCTACTTACCTTGCAACTTTCAAGATTTCAGGCAATAACGGCACATAGAAAAATGCAGTAAAGAATCCAGTAAACGCCATGGCAAAACGTATTAGCCATAACTCACTGCAATGATAACACTCAGTTTAGAATTTGTGATTAATCTAACAAAAAATAGATAACTGCTGTACGAGGGAAACCTGTATAACACTGCCAACCACTGAACCCCTGTTAATGTTCATCATCACAATATAGTGAACAAGGTGTCTCATATTCAGCTTCTAATATCATTAATGATGAGGATCAGTTCTTTACAATTTCAACCGTATATTCAATGGTCTGTTTTAATGATCAGCTGTTTTGAGCCTCTAAGATGGCTAAATATATATATA